GGCGTCGGGGCGGGACAGCTCGCACACCAGCTCCACGCGCTCCGACGCCACGTACGTGTGCGCCGCCGCCTCATTGGAGCTGACGACTCGCACGGGCGGCTCTGGCGGGGCAAACCAGGGCATCAGCCAGGGTGCCTGGGTCGGGCCAACTCCCTCCTGCTGGGGAGGGGGCTTGACCTGGGGACTCTCCTTGGCAGGAAGTGCTGGTGCTGGTGCTGGTGCCAGTGCCCAAGACAGCACTACAGGTGCTGTGCCACAGGGTGGCAGGGCAGGGGCTCCGTGCAGCAGGGAAGGGGGGTGCCCAGCAGGGGGTGCTGCATGGCAGGGGCAGGAAGGATGGAGCAGGGGGCATCCTGCCCTGACTGTGGGGCTGTGGGATGGGAGCTCATACATGAGCCCAGTGCCTGCGCCCCTGTGGGGTTTGGCCGGATGGCCCAAGGGGCAGCTGAAGGGACACGGGGGGCAGGATGGCAGCAGCTCAGCCCAGGGGCACCAGGGAGGCGGCGGGGCACAGACCCGGAGCCGGTACGGGGGCACTGACCTGCAACGGTGATGCTGTAGAAGACAGAGTCACCACCCACGTTGCACACATACTCGCCCGTGTCCGGCGGCTGGGCCGAGGGCAGGATGAGCCGGCTGCATGGCCCCTCACGCTGCAGCACCAGCCGCTCGCTCTCCTCCACCTCCACCCCGTCCTTGTACCACTGCACTGGGGCACTGGGGCGAGACAACTCGCACACCAGCTCCACGCGCTCCGACGCCACATACGCGTGCACCGCCGCCTCGTTGGAGCTGACGACCCGCACGGGCAGCTCTGGGACAGAGAGAACCATTGCAGAGGCAGTGGGAACAGAGCCCTTGGCCCTGCAAGCTTGTAGCCTGCTTTGTGACAGAGGCAGGCGATGGAGGGACCAGTAAAGGGAGGATGGGGCAAGGTGCTGCTCACACAGGCGCACATGGGTGGCCAAAGCAGTAGTGCATCAAGCAGCCCCCCACGTCTGCCATACCCGGCTTGCAGGTCCACGGGCCCCAGGGGACATGAGAGCATCATGGAGGTTCAAGGGAGGAAGCGGCAATTTCATCCCCGCACCCGGGGCACAGCCAGCTCCCGAGGAGGTGCAGGAGGTGGCGGGACCTGCCCCATGCAGGTGTTGCCTGGCCCAGGAGCAGCTGGAGGTCAGCTGGGGGCCCAGTGCCTTAGGGCTGAGGTCCTGCAGCCCCTCTGTCCCTGGCACCATCATTTAGCGATCACTCTGGTCCTGGCACAGAAATGCCCAGCCCCTTCCCAAGCCCTGCGATGTCCAGGGCCGCGGCCCCTTTCCAGAGCAGCGCGTCCTGAGCTCTGCCCGTCGCCTCACACCAGCTTGGAGCGTCCCCCTCTCACCGGATGGCACTGGGAGAGGGGAGAGACTGGGGCCCCAAGCCCCCCAGGCTTGGTCACATTCACTCTCTCAGACTCTCAGCACCTCTCCCTGCTGAGCGGCTTCCTGGCTCCTTTCAGAGACCCTGGATCATCCTCAGCGCCCCCCTCCACGTCCCTCCACCAGCACCCGCTGTGCTGCACACAGAGCCCGTGCTGCACACAAGGCGGGGGCACGGCTTGGGCCTGGGCTCTTTCCAGTGCCCACCAACCCCCTGGCAGCAGCAGGATTCATAGATGTAGGGTCAGAAGGGACCTACAAAGATCTTCAAGTCCAACCCCTGCCCTGGGCAGGAGAGTAAACTAGGCTCATATGACCCTGGCGAGATGTTCATCCAGCCTCCTCTTAAAGCCCCCCAGGGTAGGAGCCAGCACCACTTCCCTTGGAAGTTGGTTCCAGATCCAACCACCCTGACTGTGAAGTCGCACATCCTGATGTCCAGCCTGAACCTACTCTAGCAACTTGTGGCCGTTATTCCTTGTTACTCTGGGAGGTGCTCGGGGGAACAGGGACTCTCCCATTCCCCGCTCGTCCCCCCTGGTAAGTTTATAGGCAGCCACCAGGTCAGCCTTCTCCTGTGGAGGCTGAACAGTTTCAGGTCCAGCAGTCTCTCCACTGGAGGCTGCGGGGGCAGTGTCAGGGCACGGGCAGGTAGCAGCACACAGGGAGCAGGCAGATACGGGACAAGAGGGTAAGCAACAGCTTGGCTGTAGGCCCGACAAGGCTGCGCACTCCCAAGCTCAGAGCCCTCGGTCACTGGGGCAGGAGGAGCAGGTCAGCACTGGGGGTCCGTCTCTGAGGTCACAGGTGCCCCGAGCCAGGGAGCCCTGGCAGATGTGAGGAGCAGGATGGCAGTGGCTTGGTCCAGGGGCACCAGGGAGGCAGCGGGGCACAGACCCGGGGGCAGTACAGGGGCACTGACCTGCAACGGTGACATTGTAGAAGATGGAGTCGCCGCCTGCGTCGCACACGTACTCGCCCGTGTCCGGCGGCTGGGCCGAGGGCAGGACAAGCCGGCAGCAGGGCCCCGAGCGCTGCAGCACCAGCCGCTCGCTCTCCTCCACCTCCACCCCGTCCTTGTACCACTGCACCGGGGCGTCGGGGCGGGACAGCTCGCACACCAGCTCCACGCGCTCCGATGCCACATACGTGTGCGCTGCCGTCTCGTTGGAGCTGACGACTCGCACGGGCGGCTCTGGCAGGGCAAACCAGGGGCTCAACTTGGATTTTCCCCAACACGCACAGAAGAGCAAGGGGAGATGGGGGCACCTCCCCTTGGCACCATCCTAGGTGGGCTTCACCCCCACCACAGCGCACCAGCAGGCTCACCCCATGCTCAGCAGGGTACACTCAGCACCCAGCTGCCCCAGGCCAAGCAGGGTGCGAGGAGACACCCAGGTCCTCAGGGCAGGAGATGGCAGGTCACTGTGCAGACAGACCAGGGGCAGCCGAGCACAGGGGCAGAGACGGGTGGAGGAGGGAGCCCAGCAGACAGAGCCTCTCCAGCTCTGACTCTGAGCATGGCTGCACAGAGCCCACATGGTGCAGGGTCCCGGGTCCCCAGCCCCACTCACCAGTCACAGTCACGGCAAAGGTTACCACGTCGTTGCCGGTGTCGCACGCATACGTCCCGGAGTGCAAGGGGCAGGCAGAGCGGACAAGCAGCCTCCTCATGCAGCCCTCTGCCTGGATGGTGATGGCATCGCCCCCAGGCACAGCCTCCCCATCCTTGAGCCAGCGCACGGGGGCGTCGGGCCGGGAGACCTCGCACTCCAGGAGCAGGGGCAGCCCCACTGGGAGCGTCTGCACGCGCTGGGCCTCGGGCACCGCAACGATGCGCACCTGCGGGGCTGAGGGCACGTCGCTGTAAGCAGGGGCCAGCACTCCCACCCAAAGCTATCTGCATGGGGCACGGGACATGGCGCATGGGGCTGGGCACAAGCCCGCACCTGTCTGAGGCCCAGGTGCTGCCCTGCACCATCGCAGCTCTGGTCCCACCTGCCCCTGCGTCCCCATGGAGAGAGGCAGAGCCCACAGACCCCAGCAGGATCCCCCTACCCCTTGTAGGCGCCCACTGCCCTGGTGCCCAGCCCTCGCCCCCGGGGAGCCCACATGAGGGCAGAGGGCTGGTGAGCGCTGCAGGGCAGGAGCTCCAGGCGGGAGTCCACAGTACTGCCTTGCCCCAGAACCAGAGGGGCAGCAGCTGCAGCGTGGGCCCAGTGCCCAGCACCTCCCTGTGCCCCCAGTGCAGGGAAACCTCTTCAGCTGAGGAAGCAGCATGTGCCTGCAGCTCAGAAGATGAGTGCCCTGCGGGGAGCCAGGGCAAAAGGGCAGCATTGGACACAGGCCAGGCAGCCACAGGAGCCAGGCACGAGGCCACGCACAAACCGCCAGCTCCAGCGTGGTGCAGGGGAGCACCGGAGGGGAAGGTGCTCATGGGCGGGGGTGCGTGGACCAGCGGGTGCTCATTACTGGCGTGGGGATGGTCAATGCCTGGGCCATGTCCACCTAGCCCCATGGTCTCAGCTGTCCTGCCCACCGAGGCCATGCCCCTCCCACCCTCCCCGGCCAGCGCCTCACCTTGCACATGCAGCATGGCCACATCCTGCAGCCCATGGGCCACGAAGCGCACCTCAGCCCCGTCCTCCGTCAGCCGCACCCCGCGGATCTGCAGTGCGTGCTCTGTCTTGCTGTGCCAGATGCAGCACCGCCGGCCTTCCTGTTCCTTCTCCTCCAGCACCCTTGCCCCATTGAGGAACCAGGCACCACGCACCAAGGCCGAGAGCTCCAAGGAGAAGATGGCATCCTCACCCTCTTGCACCACAGCGTCCTGCAGGGCTCTTTCCACGCGGGCGAGGGGCACTAGAGCACAGGGCAGCACCTCAGCCGGAGACAGGGGCAGCCAGCACAGGGGTGTGCAGCATCACCGACTGCACCTGCTGCTACCGGGACCAGCCCCTTCCCCTCCCTGGGCATGCTGCTGCCCAGCCCTGCCATCTGCCCTGCTGCCCCTGCCCTCCTGAGCTGCATGCGCCCAGCCACCTCCTCGCGGGACCCAGGACATGTCCCCATCTCCTTCTAGTTTGGGAAGGGAACGAACTGGGGCTGGTGCTGGGAAGAGCTGTCTAGCTGTGGCGCTCTGCACAAGTCAGCCCCAGAGCCTGGCATCATCCAAATATCAGAATTGGCATTTTCTGGGTCAGACCCAGGGCCGTCCTGCCCCATCTCCCGTGTCCCAGGGCAGAGAGCAGAGCTGGCAGGCGAGTGCCCGGGGCCGAGTGGGGCTTTCCCCTGTTCCTCCAGCACGGAGGGTCCAGGCGGGGCTGATGCAGAGGCCGGGCCCCTCGCTGCCTGCCCCAGTGCTACCCATGCCCCTTTTCTTCCCGCACGTGTCTGGTCCCTGCTGGATCTGGCTGTGCTCTCAGCTCCCGCTATGTCTGGGGCCACGAGTCCCCCCCTTGGATGCCCCACAGGGGGAAACAGGACTTTGTTTTTCACAGGTGTCCAGCCCCACCTGGCAGCACTTGGGGCAGCGAGGCTGGGGATGGGGGGCCCTGGCACTCACCGAGGTGCGCGGCACCGGGGAACTCGACATGCGCGCTGCATCCGTACTTGTTGACAGCACAGAGGCGAAAGCGGTAGTCGGCCTCGGCGGGGACACTGTCGCCCAGCACCTCCACGGCGCCGGCCGTGTCCGTGGTGAGGCACTGCACCCACTCAGCCGTGCCGGCCTCCTGCCGCTCCAGCACGTAGGCACCGGGTGGGCTGCGATGCACGTCGGGCGCAGGACACCACGTCAGCAGTGCGGCGTTGCTGTGCTCTGTGCTCATGCAGGCGGCCACGGGCGTGCTGGGTGGGACACGCTTCGCACCTGAAACCCCCACCCCAGAGGGCTGCTCTGAGACGTCCCCCGAGCAGGGAAGTGATGCCCAGGGGTGGGGTTGGGACATGGAGCCTCCCCGGGGGCACAGTGCAAGCCCCTGGGAGTCTCAGCCCATCAGACACAGGACCTGTCCCCTGTAACAGCGCCAGCCCTGACCTGGGCCCCGAGCAGTGAACGGCTGGCATGAGTCATTGCCCATGCTAGCCCCAATCCACCCCAGAGCAGAGCCAGGCTCCCTGCTCCCCCCAGCCCCACAGCAGGCTCTCACATTTGACGCGGAGCTGGGCCAAGGTCTCTGAGTCCCCAACAGCGAAGGCAATGATGCCGGCGTCCTCCCGCGTCACGTGCACCAGGACCAGCAGGTGGGTCTTGCCAAAGCTCTTGAGCACGGTGCAGGGCGACTCCTGCAGCTCCTGCCCATTGCGGCGCCAGCAGATGCCCTCCACGGCCTCCCGCGTCTCCACGCAGAAGGCGGCGTTCTCCCCCTCCATGACGTCCAGCTTCCGCGGCAGCCGCTTCACAATCATTCCTGGGACACACCGGGAGGGACCGGGCTCGTGTGAATGGGGGCAGCTAGGACCATGGGGTGTGGCAGGGGACCTGGAGTCCCTGGGGGGCAGTTTGGGATCCCCAGGGTCTCCAAGTTGGCAGGAGCAAATGGGTCAGAAGCAAGCAGCAGGGCAGGGCAGGGGTAGAGGCACCAGGCCCCGGCATCATCCCACCCCCTGTCAGTGGCTCCATGGCCCCATTCCTGCCCCCAACCCCTGCAGTGACCCCGTGGTCCCGGCCCCACACCTCTGACGGAGACCTCAGCAATGCTGCGGCCCTGGTCCTGCATCTCGCAGAGGTAGATGCCATCATCGTCGGTGCGGGCATCGCGGATGGTGAGGCGCCGCACACGGCCCCGCTCCTCCATGAGATACTTGGGGCTGGGCTGCAGCGGCTTGTCCTCCAGGTACCAGGCTGTGGGGATGGTCTCCAGCGGCACCCGGCACTCCAGCACCGCGTCCTCACGCTCCTGGACCTCCACGTCCTCCAGCTGCACCTGGAACCGCACCCGGTGCTCTGGGCCAGCCGGGCCAGGGTGGGGAGACGGGTGCTGCTGAGCGCCTGGGCAGGGGGCACGGCCTGGCACTGCTGCTCCAGGCCAGCAAGCAAAGCTCCCATCACCTCCTCGCCTCTCGCCGTGTCCCCCAGCACTGCCGTCCTGCCTGCGACCCCGCAGTCGGGGGCTCTGCACAATGCCCCCACGGCACCCCCAGCCAGGGGCTCCTCTCTCCCTGCCCCTGGAGCCTCAGACCCTGTGTACTGGCTGGCTCCTCTACCCCAGTGGCGAGCCCGTGACTGTTCCCAGCCCCTGTGACCCCCTGCTCCCCCCGCACTGCAGTCCTCTGGGCAGCCCGGCCCCAAACGCACCCCGCACACGGTGCAGCGCTCCGCGGCCCCCCCCCCCGCCGCCACCCCTTGGTGCCGACGGCTGGGTCTGGCGCTGGCCCCGGCTACCTGCTCTGCCCAACCCTGGGGGAAGCCGGCCCAGCTCTGGCTCCTCTCACCGCTTCCCCCACATCCTCCCAGCACAGCAGCTGCGGACACTGCCCCCGCCTGCCCCTTGGTCCCCCGTACCCAGCCTGCCTCATCTCTGGACCCTTCCCAGCCCCAGCCAACATTGCACCCGCCTGCCCTGTCTGCCGGCACCAGCCCCACAACCTGCTGGTCCAACAAGCTCCTTCTGCACCCGCCGGCCCCCCAGGCTGCGAGAGGCTCCCCCAGGCACCTGCAGCGCCATGCCCCATAGGATCCCAGAGCCGCGGCTCCGGCAGGGAGCTGCAGGGTCACGTCCAGTCCCTGCCCTGCTCGAGGCAGGGTCAGCCCTGTCCAAACCAGCCCAGACAAACCCTGAGTCCAATCTCTGAGCACCACGACATGGGCCCAGGCATCGCCCCTGCCCTGGGGGAAGAAGGGGGCTGCGGCCACCAGCCCAGCACAGGGACTCTGCAGGCACCCGAGCCCCCGTTCAAAGGAGGGGGCTAAGCGTGACCCCCCCCATCTGCCCCTGCAGCTATTGCCCCAGAGGAAGCCCCAGTGCTGGTGTGACCCCCATCCCCAGGGTCTCCTTGCCCTGGCCTCGCCTGGCCCAGCCCAGCACTGTCTGTCCCTGGCAGGGCTGCAGGGCTATTTGGGGTGGCAGCTCGGAGGGCAACGTGCGGTCTCTGGCTCTCAGTCCCCTGCTCCCAGTGTCTTGCACCAGTGTCACCCCTGCCAAGGCCCCTGTGGGTCCCACTGCCTGGGCAGAAGAGACTCCACTCGTCCGGGCAGCAAACCCTGGCCCCGAGCCTCAAGGGACCAGCCAGCCTCACAGGCGACAGCCCCCGCGCAGGCGGCTGGCCATCCAGGCCCAGCAGCCAGAGCTAGAAGCTGCCCCCAGGAAACATCCCGGGGGTGGATGGAGCTCTGGAAACACAAAGCGCGGGAGCCCTGGGCAGGACGGGGACCAGAGGGTCCATGCGGCACACGGCCAGACCCCGCCAGGCAGCAGGACGGGGTGGAGGAGGGAGAGGACAGCGCCTGGGGCGGGGGGCACTGGGAGCACGGAGGGGAGCCCAGGAGCGAAGGCCATGCGACAAGGTCCCTGCCAGGACCTGGAGCTGGGTCACAAAGGGCAGGGAATGAGGGGCAGGGCAGGCCCACGCTGCAGCCGCACTGGGAAAGTGTGTCCCGAAGCTGCCCCGCTTGAGGCTGCAGACCAGACGGGGTGCCAAGGGCTCGAGGCCGCCCCGCCCAGGCCAGCTGGGACTGGGAACACCATATCTTGCCGGCAGACGAGGAGCAGGGACAAGTCAGATATGGAGCTCACACCCCCCGCATCATCCTGCTGCAGCACCACCCTGGACCCGCTCTGGGGCCTCGTGCGAGCCCTGCCCCCACCCGTCACCCCTTGGCACCAGCGTGCCCAGCTCCACCCACGGCCAGCACAAGGGCCGGCCGGCCGGCCAGGGGCCCTTGGCACTGCCCTGACTCTCCCAGGCCTCAGCCCCCCAGGCTCTGCAGCTGCCGGGGGGGGCTCCACCGCCTCACACAGCAGGTGCCTGGCAGCCGGCCCTGCGGCTCAGGCCAGACCTGTCAGCGCTCGTCACTCGCGGGGCACTGCCCACCCACGACACCTCAAGCCCTCTGGTGACACCCAATCACTCCTAATGCGGCCCCGGCACACACAGGCGGGCACAGGGCCAGGCCTCGGCCAGCTACAGCCAGCAAGCGCAGACGGCCGCGCTGCCCTGACCGCAGCTGCCCCACCAGGGCAATGGCCAGGCCCAGCAAGCGGTCCTGAGCCGCTAAGGGGTGTGGGACAGCCAGCCCCCGCCACCCTCTCCTGGGGCGGTACCTCGCACACAGAGCTGCACGGCGCTGAGCGTCTGGCCGGCCGTGTTGGAGGCGGTGCAGACGTAGAGCCCCCGGTCCTGGGGCTTGCAGTACAGCACCTTCAGGATGAAGTAGCCCTCGCGGTCCTCATAGGCCAGGTGCCGGCGGCCTGGCACGACGGCCTTCCCGTCCTTCTTCCACATGATCTCGGGCTTGGGCTTGCCCGTCACGTAGCACCGGAACTTGGCGTGTTTCCCCTCGCTCACGGCAAACGCCTTCGCCCGCGGCGCGCTGGGGGCCGCCTCGCCGTTGGTCAGGGCCGCCCAGGGCTCAGGCTCGGGCCCCGCTGCATGCCGGTGCCGCGGTCCTGGCTGCTCCGGCGCCTTGTCGCAGCAGCTCAGGAGCAGGCAGTTCCGGGGGGGGCCCAGGGAAGGGCCGTCACGTGGCTCCCGGGACCAGGGGTCTACCAGGAGCACTGCGGCCGCCAGCGCTTCCCCGGCGCGGTTCCGAGCGCGGCACACGTACACGCCGCCATCCGGGGGCCGGGACCCGAAGATCCGCAGGAAGTGCCAGTCCTCAGGCTCCTTGCCCACACAGAAGTGGCTGCTCTCGAAGAGGTCAGAGAGCTTGCGCCCGTCCTTCTCCCACTCCAGCACGGGGCCCGGCTGCCCCAGCACCCGGCAGCTGAACGACACATCCTCCCCGCGGCTGACGCGCAGGGAGAGGGGCCGGGCCAGGAAGACGGGGGCCCGGTCATCGGGGTGCCCCTCGCAGCGCAGCTCCCCGGGCTCCACCTTGAGCGTGGCAGCAGCGTAGGTCTCGCCGACGCTGTTCTTGGCCTTGCAGATGTACTGCCCACTGTCCTCGGGCGTCACCCGCGAGACCAGCAAGCTGTACATGTTGCCCTCGGCCTGCACACGGAAGCGCCCGGCTGGCGTGATGGGTGCCTTGTCCTTCTCCCAGGCGATGCTGGGCTGCGGGTCCCCCGTGATCTGGCACTTAAGGAGGGCATCGGCGCCACTCTGCACGGTGAACGTGCGGGGGTAGGCCAGGAACCTGGGGGCCCCTCCAAACACGTCCATCTCCGCGTCTGCGGGGGCCGCGGCTGGGACCGGGCACCTGTGGGGCAGAACCGCGGCTCACAGCAGGCGTCAGGCTCCGGGAGCAGGGATCTGCAACGGGGGAGAGGCTGGTGATGCCCCGCCGCCCTGCTAGGAGCCCCAGCGAGGTGGCAACGGGCCCTGACCCCCCTCGCTCCCAGCACAGACCGGGGCTCCTTGGTGCCACAGCCCAGCGGACCCCACGCACGCCGCGTGGGCTGCAGCCCGGGCCTGGCCACGCTGCCGCCGGCCCCTGGATTCCCCGCCGGGCTGGGTGCATCGGGTTTCCCTGCCAGCTGCCAGCCCGGCCTATTGTTAGCCGGTTATTTCGGTCTCTGGGGCCCCCGCCTCCCTGGGGACTCTGCGCACTTCCTCAGGGGCTGGAGCTGGGACTCGCGGCGCGGCCCTGGGCATCGAGAGTGGGGAGGGGGCTGCTGGGGGGAACCGGCCCTCAAAGGCAACCGAGCCCAAGGGACGGATGAGCCGGACACGGGGCCTCCAGCTCCCCTAGGACAGGGACTCCTGGTAGTCTCCCCCCTGGGGACAAGTGGGGCAAGACCCCCCAGCCCCTTCCCAGCTCAGTGCCAGCGGGAAGCAGGCAGCAGTCCCACCTGCCACCTGTGCCCAGCGCCAGCAGGCAAAGGGCAGGGGCAGGGGGCAGAGGCCAAGGGGCTCTGGGGGCAAGGGGCGGGGGCGGCAGATCTGCCCCTCCCATGGGGACATTCCTGCGGCCTCACGCGCCGCGGCCGCATTCCTGCCGTGCCTGGCCCGGCTCAGCCGCGGCGCTGATAAGGGCTGTCACTGACTCCAGGCCCTTCTCAGGATGGCGCGGGGCCTGCAGCGCTCGCCTGCATCAGGGCAGAGAGTGGACAGGGTGGGGGCAGGCAGTGGACGCCTGGGTGGGAGCTGAGGGCAGAGGCCCAGCCCGGGCCCTGCGTGGTGAGGGGTGCAGGGGCAGCTTGCTTGGGAAGAGGCAGCGCAGCAGCCCCTTCCCCTCCCCAGCGCAGGAAGAGCCCCTGCATCCTGCTCACGGGCATTTCTGGTGAACTGAGTTGGTCACCAGAGCCCAGGGCTTGCGCATGGATGCACGGACCCAGCCCGGGCTCACGGACCTGCTCCTGGCCCTGGCAGGGACCTCCAGCCCCGCTCCTGCAGGGGACGGTGTCCATCACCCGCACAAGGAGCAGGCAGCTCGGCCCCCCTGGACAGGCTGCGGCCCGCGACACCGCCCTGCCCAGCACACGCCTGCACCCGTCTCCTGCAGGCCCCGGGCGCCAGGCTGGCAGGCGAGAGGGGCCAGCCGCCAATACTCACGGAGAGGGCCACGACCCTTCTGCGACACTGGGACCCTCAGGACGCTGCGCCCATTCCCTGCGAGAGTGCCTGGTCATGCACACCCCGTCCGTCCGTCCGCCATGCACACATCTGCCGTCTGGCCCTGCTCCTCGTCGGCTCCTCCGACGTCTCGTCTCTCGTCGCCGCCTGGCCCCTGCGGCCCGGCTCCCCACCTCGCTCTGCCGCCTGCGCTCTCCCCGGCGGCTGCTGCCTCCCCCAGCTCCACTCCCAGGGTGTCAACACGCAGGGACCCGACGTCACAAATGCCTGCAGCTGCTGTCCCCAAAAATATCCCCTGATGACACGCGGGGCTGATAAGCGGGAGCCTGCTCTGCTCAGAGCCGGGCTGGGCTATGTATAGAGCCCGGCCAGAGCCCGGCCTGGGGCAGGACGCAGCCGTCCCTGGCCCCGCAAAGCAGGGGCTGCCGGGGACCGGGCAGCTCGAGGAGAGCGCAGAGGACACCCCGATTCGGAGCAGCCCCCAGGGCGGGACCCCTGGGAGCAAGGGCAGCCCCCACCCTGAGCAAGGACCAACGGGAGGAGACGCAGGCCCTGGCCCTTCAAACTGCCCGGCCTCCTCAGGGCCCGCGCCCCCGGAGGGGCTCAGCAGCCCCAGCCACATCCCCCTGCCCGAGCTCCGCCACTGCCTGGGGTCACAGCCCTGCCCTCCTCCCAGCACCTGGCCTGGCCTGGCCTGGGCCCCTCAGCATGCCCTGCCCTGCCCCTCCACCCCCAGGCCCAGCTGCCCTTCCCCAGGGAGCCCTCTCAGCCCGCCTGGCCCAGACCCAGACCCCTGTCTCCCCCTACCCCGCTCCCAGGCCTGCCCGGCCTCCGCTCTCCCGCTCGGGGCTCTCACAGCCTGGCCTGGCTGGGCCTGGGGTCTTAGCCCCTTTTGTCCCCCTGCCCCCTGCTCAGCCACCCCTCCCCAGGCTTCCCTCCCTCTGGCTGGGAACGGGACCAGGCCAAGGGGCAAGGCACCAGGCTCCACGCAAGAAACCCCCTGTTGCGGGCCCAGAGCACCACGCAGGGGGCAGGGCCCAGCTGGGGTCACTGGGGCGCAGGCAGGCCGTCTCCTCACAGCCCTGCCTGCCCTGGTCTCCACAGTCCCGCTCCACAGACCCCTCTGCCCGGGGCCTGGGCAGGGGCTGGCCCTGCAACGGGCCCCGCCGAGACGTGGGGCAGAGGCTGGCGCCTGGGGAACAAGCGCCGGATGCACCGGCTGGCGTTAGCCCGACAGGGACCAAAGGGAGCCCTGCCCCGGGGCCGACAGCTCACGCCAGGGCCTCACGTGAGGCACATAGGAAATAAGCAGCAATGGGCAGGGTTGGGGGTCACTGCCCGGACTGCCGCGCTGCAGGCACCGCATCCTGGAGAGGGGCCCTGGGGGGACCAGGACAAGGGGAGGAAGGCGGCTGGCGAGGGACAACCCGGCCAGCCTGGGACCCGGAACAACCTCGGGGCTGGAGCTAGACCCCAGCAGGACCCAGCACCTGCAGCCGAGCCCTACTGCCAGGAAGAGCTGGGCAGAGCGGGCCAGGTGCCCTGCCCGGTGCTCAGCACTGCCAGCCCCATGGCATGAGCAGGGCCAGGCCTCGTTGCAAGCAGAGCGACCCACACAGAGGCCCCGACTCGCTGCAGGCGCAGGCCAGGTGGTGGGGGAGCATCACGCCGCCTTTGCAAGGAGCTGGGCCCGGCGTTGCCTGCGCGCCCAGGCCTGCGCCCCCCTGCCCCGGTCGCCCTCGCGGGGCGGCACTGTCCTTGCATTCCAGACAGCTCCTTGTTTTCGCTGCCCAGAGATAATATTCACGGCGAGCAGACGTTTGCGTCAGTGGCAGATACATCTCAATGCCACCCTGCCCCAGTCAGAGCCCAGCACAAGCTGAGCCAGGCGCACAGGCTGCGCCCGACAGCGCAGAGGCCCCTGCCTGCCCCAGCCATGCTGCTGCTGCTGCTCCTGCTGCTAGGCCTGCTGGCCCCCCCCGCCCTGCCGGGCTGCAGTGAGGCCGAGGTTGACCGGCAGCTTGTCCTGGCCAAGATCCGGGCCCAGGTCCTGGAGCACCTGAGCCCAGCGGCCCCGGGAGGCAGGGCCCAGAAGGAGCGGAGGGAGGTGCGTCGGCGGCATGCCCTGGGGACCCTGCCTCTCCGGCCACAGGACCAAGAGGACACCTCCCAGGTGATCCTCTTCCCCTCCACAGGTGAGAGCAGGGGCTGGGGAGCAGGGGGGGCAGGCAAGTCAGGCTGCAGCTTGGGGGTCAGGGGGCAAGTGCAGCAAGGGAAAGCGCCGGAGGAGGGGCTGTGCTGGGCCAGGGTCCGGGCTGGGGGCTCCTGCGCCCCTCAGCTGGGCCAGCGGGGGCAGGGGTACAGCACCGGGTCCCCAGAGCCCCGATGGGAGGCAGCGCAGCCGCCTCAGCAGGGCGCCCGGTCTGGGCTAGCTCAGTCTCTGTGCCAGAGGCAACACCCCGGCCCTGCGCGATGGGGGTAGAGGGTGTGCGGCGCTCCGCACCGGGGACACCCACCAGCCCAGCCCCGGTCCTGGCTCTACCCCCAGACCCCTGCTAGCCCTGCCCTGGGCTCCCCCACAGCTCTGCCAGAGCCCCTCGCCCCTGCCTGCCCAGTCCTATGGGCCACCCCTGCCCCAGGTCCCCCGCTCGCCCCGGCCTGGCCCTCCACTGCCGCCTCCAATGCCCCAGATGCAAGCTCCGTTCTCCCCCGCAGCCCCGAGAGGTGCCAGCACCAGGCAGGGACTGCTGGGGACGGTGGCAGGCTGCGGGAGGCCTCCAGACGGATGAACATCCCCAGGAGGGATGAACCGGAGCCTCCCCTCTGCCCTCCTGCCCCGGCGGCAGGACCCCTCCAAGTGCCCCCAGGGCTGTGTCACCTGCAGCTGCCTCGCCCCGCTCCTGGCCGCAGAGGCAGGGACATCCCCAGCGCACTGGCCCATGGCTGGTGGGGCAGGGCTGTGGGGGCACATCTGGGAGCGGCAGAGGAGGGTCTTGGCTGGCTGGGCACAGGGGTCGTGGGCACGGGCCTCACTGGCCGGGTCTGGGGCTCTCCAAGCAGCTGCGTGAGCCTGCTTGTGGGGCTTCCCTAGGCATGAGCCCACCTCCCTCATGCACGAGCACACCTTCCTCGTGCAAGCCTGTGCACCATGGTGGCTGTTTCACCTGTGCTTGCACAGCTCACAAGCACCGAAGTGTTCTGGGCCCAGGAGGGGTGTTATCAGCAAGGCCAGGGCAGCATCAGCTCAGCAGCTGGGGCCAGACCACAGCCAGGCCCTGAGCATGCTCCAGCCACCTCCACTCCTGCCATGGGCCAGGCCCTGTCCCCTGCCCCACACCCCAGCACCATTGCAGTTGCTGGGCACTGGGGTCAGTCTCCTCGCCCCAGCCCCAGACAGGCTCTCCTGGGTGCTGGCTGGGGCCAGGGCTCCATAGCACCCAGGTGAGGACCTGGGGGTTGCAGGTGCTCGAGGGAGCTGCTGTGCTCCATGCACAACCCAGGGAGTAGAGCCCCCATGCCCAGCCCTGCTCCATCCCCACCTGCAGCCCCTGCTTGCAGCCCTGCAGGCTGGAGCCACACACCGGACCCGCCGGGCTGAGGACTGGGGACTGGGGCAGGATGCAGGAGACCCCAGCCAGTGCAGACCCGCTTCCTCTGCTTGCAGATGTGCCATGTGAGCCTCTGCAGCCGGCCGCGCTCCTGGAGGATGAGGGAGTCTTCACCTACCTCTTCCAGCCGTCACCGCACACGCTAACCCGCATGGTGACCTCTGCCCAGCTCTGGTTCCACACGGGCAGTGCCGCCACGGTCCCGCCAGGCCCCTCTGCCACCCCCAACTGCTCGACCGCTGGCACTGACGTGCTGATCCTGTCGCCGCAGGGCCAGGTGGCCGTGGGGGCTGCGGTGGTGCCGGCGCCCGAGCACTGGACCGTGTTCCAGTTCGCACCCCCATTCCTGCGCTACATCTCGCAGCGGCTCTTCGTGCTGCTGGTGCGCTGCCCGCACTGCCCCTGCGTGGCTGACGCCGACAAGATGCCCTTCCTCGTGGCCACCACCCGGCCCCGAGGGGCTGACCGAGCCCGGCGCTCCTCGGTGCCCTGGTCCCCCGCTGCCCTCAACCTGCTGCAGCGCCCGTCAGAGGACGTGGCTGCCCATGCCAACTGCCACCGCGCCGCCCTTAACATCTCATTCGAGGAGCTGGGCTGGGACAAGTGGATTGTGCACCCCAGCTCCTTCCTCTTTCACTACTGCCACGGCAGCTGCTCCGACGCTCATGCCCTCACCCACAAGCTGGGCTTCCGCCTCTGCTGCGCCGCCCTGCCAGGCACCATGCGGCCCCTGCGTGTGCGCACCACCTCCGACGGCGGCTACTCCTTCAAGTACGAGACCGTGCCCAACATCCTGGCCCAGGACTGCGCCTGCATCTAGCGCTGCGCAGGCCTGCCGGCTCCCCGAGCCCTGCCACGTGGAGCCACAGCGCAGGCGCCTTGTCACTGCCCGACAGCCTCAAGCAACACCCGCAGCTGGCTGGCACCGTATCCTCCCTGCGCGCAGCTCGGCCGGCAGCTCCCTCGATCCACTCGTTGGCTGCGGACGTGGCTCCCCGCTTCTGGCCACCTTGCCTGCCTCTTGTCCGTGTGTCGGTCTGTCCCTCCAGATACACTCGTGGCAGCGAGCTCCCACTGGCACTGGGCAGGTCGGAGCCTGACTCTGCTCCAGCCTGGATTGGGGGATGCCCGAGCTTGATGGGACAGGCCAGAAACACCAGTAGTGGGGCAGTGTCAGCCCCGCCACTCCCAGCTCTGACGCCCCGCGCCCTAGCCCCAGCAGTGCCAGCATCCCCGGCCCCCAGCCCTGGGCAGAGCAGCAAGGGTTTCACCTCGCTCAGCACTGGTGCCAGGCTGGGCACCGGGCAGGAGGTACCCCGTGGCCCTGCCGGGCTCTGCTGTGCAGAGGAACTGGCTCCAAGCTGACCCGGGCCTGGGTGCTCTGAGCAGGGTCCCGTGCAGGCCAGCCCGGGGCAGTGATCTCTGCCAGGGGAGCCCCACAGCCCAGCCCCACACGTTGCTGCCTCAGCAGAGCTGCAGGAAGCAGGAGTCAGCAAGGAAGTCACAGGCATGCACACAAGGGAAGCAGACAGGCGCTGGGCGGGGGGGCCAGTCCAGCCCTGCTAGCAGCCCTGCGGGGCACAGCTTGGCGCTGACCCATCCAGGGCACAGCGGGGCCCTCAGCAACACGGGCGCCCCTTGGTCCCCGCAAGGGGGTGGGCTCCCCGCGGAGAATCATCCCCCCTGCAGAAATGGGGGCCAGAGCGAGGCCCAGGTGAAAAGGGGTGGTGGCGCTGGAAGGTCGCAGGGAGTGGCGGAGAGCACCGGCACGGGGGGAGCAGGGGCCGGGTGCGCCGCGGGCAGGGGAGCAGAACCTGTTCCACCGCCACCTGCTTGCGCGCAGAGCAAATAAACCCTTTTTTTTTTTTAAGCAAAAGCAGCTGGATTGCGAGCTCCAACCAGCGGCAGCCACGGTGCAGCCTGGCCACTTTGGCAGTACTGCCTGGCCACATCGCCAATGCCAGCTGCACCGCGCAGGGCCTGCTCGCCGGGCAGGCTCGCACTGTGGGGAAGGGGCCCAGGCAGCAGAGAGGGGCTCCAGGCCAAGGGGCCCCAGATGCAGTGCTGGCTACAGAAGGGGCAAGGAGGGTGGTGCAGAGGCCCGGCTCTGCCCAGCCCTTGTGCCCAACTCTGTTCCCTCCCCAGGCTCAGGGCACTCTCACTCAGATTGCAGCAGGGGTAGAGCCACCAGACAGGCAGCCAGACCCAGCCCATGGACAAGGGCTTTGGTCCATGTGGCAGGGCTGCGCTTCCCCCAGGGCCAGCCACAGAGATGCCCCCAGCCCCTTCCGCAGGGCAGGGGCCCCTGGCTGCTCTGCGTGCTCCGAGCTGGGCTGGTGGGCTCCTCTCCTCTAGGAGACCAGAGCGATCCCACAGCCGATCCCAGAAGCTGTGTCATTCCCACAGCGCTCTGGGCTCGTCCTGCGCCACGCAGCCCAAACCGGGTGGTCGTGGAGGGCACTGGCTCGAATCTGGCCCAGGCCTTTGGCCCCTTTGTCTCCAGGGCTACGGCTCCAAGTGGGGCAGGACCATTGGGGCGCAGCAGGTCACAGAACTGGAGCCGACAGCAGCTCTCTCAGCTCAAGCCAGTGTGCCTGGTGGGCTGCCGTCACCTGGAGCAGCTCCCAGCCAGCGAGGCCCAGGCTGCACTGGAGCCCCCATGGCAAGCACCAAGCCCTGCCCCAGCCCCTGCACCCCCTGCTCACTTGCCCCAGCCCCCCCACCCCACGTGCCTCACACCCCGCTCACCTGCCCCAGCCCCCACATCCTGCTCGCCTGCCCCAGCCCCCCTGGTCCTCCGCCTCATGGGCTGTCCGCTCTGTCCCCTATGCAGCTCCCCCCTCCCCAAGCAGCCAGACACCAGGCTCCATACAAAACATTTGCAGGTTTTACTAAATATAAAAAGACTTCACCAATTGATCAAGTAAAAAAAAAAGGTACAAAACACCCGCGTGAGCCAGGCCCAGACCCTGCCAACCTGCCTGGTGCATCCCCCCGCCCCGGGGGGCCCTGAGGCCTGGAATGTGACAGGATCAACTTTGGTCTGGACGCCGTCCGCTTCCACCGCAAGCAGAAGCCAGGCACCGGCGGGGGGGCAGGCTGGGGGCAGAGCCCTGCCTGCAGGGAGCTGGGCGCCCCTCAGCCCCCCATGCACAGTTAGCCACTGCCAGGGGCAGTCGCAGCCTTTCGTACCTAGTGCAGGGGGTGAAGGTGCCTCCCACAGCAGAGCTGCGGCCCCCGAGGCTGGCCACCAAACCCGCGCTCCCTGCGGATAGACCGGGCGAGCGAGCTGGATGCTGCTGGCAGGAGGGCCCCAAGCAGCTGGACCCTGCATGAGCCCCTGCTGCCATGGGGAAGCACCAGCTTGTCAGCCCCCTTCATCCACGGGGACCCCCACGGGCCCTTCCCCACAGCAGCACATGGCTGGAGGAAGCAGGGAGGGTCCTGTGCCAGGGGCAGGGCAGGGGCCAGGGCACACGCAGGGCAATCTAGCAAATGTACAAAAATAAGATATTCCCTTTTAAAAAAAGTAAAAAAGCAAAGGAAGGCAAGTTCCTATGGCCCCTCCCAGCCAGGCCGGGCACCGGAACACCCCACCAGTCCACCCCACCCCACGGGAGAGGGAGGGGCCGCAGCCCCCGACACAGGCTGCCATCCGTCCGCAGGGGACTCATCCAGAGCACACGTGGTCACAGAGCACCATCGCCGTCTCCATGGGCCCTGGTGTGACACAGCCGCTCACAGCCCTGTGGGAAGCAGAACACGCGGGTCAGGGCTCACGCTGCAGACGCTGAAAGGGACCTGCCTCCAGAGCGGTGAGGAGCTCCCTCCAGCCCCGGGCGTCCCAGAGCCGTGCTGGGAACCACAGCCCCTCAGAGCCCAGCACAAGAACTGCCCTGCGCTGGCTCACACCCAGGGCCATCCTGCCCCATCTCCCACGTCCCAGGGCAGAGTGGAGCTGGCAGGCGAGTGCCCGGGGCCGCGCGGGGCTTTCCCCTGCTCCTCCAGCACGGAAGGTCCCGGCAGGGCTGGTGGAGAGGCCGGGCCCTTTGCTCCCTGCCCCAGCGCTCCCCGCGCCCCTTTCCTCCCCGCACGTGTCCGGTCCCCGGTGGATCCGGCTGCACGCTCAGCTCCGCCACGTCTGGGGCCACAAGTCCCATCCACCCTTTATGACTCGCTGAAGAAACAGAACTTCCTTTTGTTAAACTTGCTACCTGCTCGCTTCACGTTGTGACCCCTCGTTCTTGCCTGGTGAGCCAGTAACAAATCCTGATTGCGTCTCTCCACAATTCAGGATTTTATAAGTCCTTGTCACGTCCCCACCCAAGCACCTTTCTCCTAAACTGCGCAGGCCTAGCCTTTTGGTTTCCCCCGGGGTACAGGGGAAGCGCCAGCCCTGCACAGCTCAGCCCCTGGGGGCACGGGGCCGGGGCCAGCTCACCTGTGACCCGCTCGCAGAGGCCGCCCTCCTTCTCGTGGGCGAAGTTGAGGCGGTTCTGCTCGGCGGCGATGCCGTTGGCCTCGGGGCTGCTGCTACGCGAGGGGCTGGCGGTCTCCAGCGTGGGCTGCAGGTGGAAGGCCATCTCCAGGTGCTCCTGAGCCAGCCGCAGGTGCTTGCACAGCCGCTCCAGCTCGTGCTTTGGAGGGGCCCCCACACCACCGAGGGGGTCCCCGTAGTCCAGCTTGTCGTGGGCCAGCGGGGCCTTCAGGGCCAGGGGCTCCTTCTTCAGCGAGTGGTAGGTGGGGGGTGCGCTGGGTGCCTTCTTGGCGTAGTGCGGCGTGGGGTGGGTGCCGTCAGGGGGTGGGAGCTCGCTGCCGCGTCCCAGCGCGTCCCGGAGGCGGCCCACACCCAGGTGGCAGAGCTCGCAGAGGGTGAGCAGGAGGCACAGCCCGCTGACCGCGTACATGATCAGCAGGAAGATGGTCTTCTCGGTGGGCCGCGAGACGAAGCAGTCGACAGTGTGGGGGCAAGGGCCGCGAGAGCACACGTAGGAGGGGCTGACCTCCAACTGGTACAGCAGGTACTGCCCGCCCAGGAAGGCCACCTCCAGCCCCGCGCGGCACAGCAGGTGCAGCACGTAGGCCCGCATCAGCCCATCCTGCTTGATGCGCCGGCGCCCGTCGTGCTTCTCGCTGCCGTCCTCCCCACCCTTCCTCTCCCGCTCAGCCTCGATCTCCTCGAAGATCATTGGGTCCTCCTCATTATCGTCCTCTGCCTCCTCGTAGTCCCGCCCGGCGCCGCGGCGCACGACGGGCATGCATGCCCGGCGCCGCGGGTCAGGGGTGCGGGCGATGCGGTGCATGGCGAAGCCCAGATAGAGCACGGACGGGGTGGCCACCATGATGATCTGGAAGATCCAGAAGCGGACGTGGGACAGGGGCGCGAAGGCGTCGTAGCACACGTTCTCGCAGCCCGGCTGCTGCGTGTTGCACACGAACTTGCTCTGCTCGTCGTAGTAGATGGACTCGCCGCCGACCGCCGTCAGCACGATGCGGAAGACGATAAGCACCGTCAGCCAGATCTTGCCCACGAAGGTCGAGTGGTTGTTGATCTCCTCTAGGAGCCGCGTCAGGAAACTCCAGCTCATCCTGGTCCGGCAGTCAGCTCAGACCCTGCAGCGGGGGGAGAAGGGGAAGGCGATAAGCCTCGGAGCCAGCCCAGGCTGTGCCCAGCACCCCCAGCAGAGAGGATGCCCCCCAGGGACCCCAGCCCCAGCTGCAGCAAAGCCCTGGCTTCCCTGTGGGAGAGCCCTACCCGGCTCAGCTTCCTCCTCCCCAGTCCTCACTGCCCGTGTGCCCTGGGGAGCTGCTCCCACTTCCCCATGGCGTGAGGGCGGCCTGGCACAGAGCCACATCCAGGGCCGAGGACATGTGTCGCGTCCAGGCAGCGCCCGGGGTCAGGGGAGGGGCCGTGCTGGCAGGCAGCAGTGCCGGGGCTCAACGCTGCGGGTGCCAAGGCGCCGTATGGCACCGAGGCCGGGCCTGGGGCTGGCTGCAGGGCTGGGCCTCTCCTCTGGCAGCTGCCCTGGGGTTCCCCAGGCCCTGGAGGCCCCTGCCCCACTGCCCGACGCTGCCTCCCCAGGGCAGAGGGCAGAGGCCCCCGGCCGCGGGGGTGGGCACTAGGCAGGGTGCACAGTGGACGAGGCCCAGCCATGGGGCACAGGAGGGTCTGGGGGCCCCTGTGGGGGCGGGGGCAGGGCAGAGCCCCCTCCCACCCCAGGGTTTGCTCCTCCACGTCAGCGATAACGTGCCCCCTCCCTGCAGCTCCCCGCGCCCCCCCGGGGCCCAGGCGGCCCCCCGCCCCTCCCGGGCTCCAGCACCG